AATCTTTTTAATTCCCAACCCTATCCCTCTGTGTTATAGATTCTGAAAGGACTTGCATCAAAAAATACTGCAAGCGGAAAGAGGGTTGTGGCTAAAGGAAGCGAGGTAGGAGGGCAAAGTAGGTTTAGCGCCACCGCAGCATGGGAGTCTGAATTACATCCAGAGACAAATAGATAAAAACAGACCAGAGGAAATAAAAAAAAAAAAAACATGAATCGATACTCTTGCAGATGTGTCGATGCATCGAATCGTCGGCTGTTGGTTCGATGCATCGATACAAAATGATTATTATTTACACCCCTAATCGAGGTATTATGGCAATCTGTCAACTTCATTAGACGTCATCACCATTTGTTTTTAGGTTGACAGTGTTGAGTCAGAGAAGCTGTTGATAAATAAAAACTAAATCGTGCAATTTACACATTTTATTGAATTTTACATAAATGTATTTACTTTACATACAAAAATATTTATCTTTAAGTTTGTTTTTTGTTTTTATTCTCAACAACTTTTTAAATAGCTTCAAAGTTAAAATCGAATTAGATTTTTTCCCCCATCAATGATAATAACTTGTGTATTTTCATTGCAAATACAAGAAAAAATTGTTATTCAATTATATATTTATTTATTCCATGTTATTTCTGCATTTAGATTGAAATCTTCTTTTAGACTTAGTCAACTTTTATTGTCATTTGTCATTTTACTGCATCACCGTTGGTCATTTCGTTCTTTTAAATCAAGAATCACTTTTGATTACTTAACTATAAATAAAACCTAATGTAGAGTAAATGGATTTCAGATTTTTGGGATCAAAAATCGGGGCTCTGGCCCCCTGAAATGGTTGGGAACCTCTGGTTGTAAGATCAAAAACGACCAAAGACATCGGAGCTTGTGGCTGGAACATGATAAAGTAGGTGATAACTCACAGTGAGCGATGGTAGTATCTGCGCAGGAAGGGATGTGCAGCCGCCCCCACAGCAAAGTTGCTGCTTCCTGTGTCCACCAGGATGTTCAACTAAAGAAAACAGACCCAGAAATGACCTGTTAGTGGGCCACGGCTGGTTATGACAAGCAAACATGTTGATTTTAAGCGATTTTCTCTATATCATCTCTTCTTGTGTTGTAGAGCCATGCAGTCTATTGTCTTTGACCCAGATGTCCTTGTCTGTCCTCTCTCTCACTGTCTCCCCTCCCTGCCTCTCAGGTTGCGTATTCTTCTACCCCCTCTCTTCCATTTCCTCCTCTTCTGTCTGCATCTCAATGTGAGTATCATATTTTGCGCAGTCAGTCAAAACAGTCAGCGAATGTGTGAATGGAGCGCAGACACAGAAGGGGTAGAAATATACGACCGGGCAATGCTTTATTCATGATTTTTCACAGGTAGCTTTTTCAGATTTGCTCCTCTGCCAGGGCGGATCCGAAGGGAGACGGTGAGGAGAGGGCAGCCGCAGAGCTAAAGCAAGCTGTTCAATAATGGATTGGCTCCTAAAATACCCAGAGAAGTAATGTCTCATGGGCCAGGCCTGACAGCCCAGAATAAATCCTGACGCCGTCCGGCTTCTTCTCTTTCTAACACACAGTCATTCAGATGAAAATCCACATGCATCCTTCTCAAACACTCCCAGAGTCAGTCATAATGCTACACTCTGCGTCTTTCCTGTCTTGGACAGAAATGTGCTGACTGTGCAGGATAGAGCTACCTCTTTCAGCTCATGCATTTATTCAGGGCTCATCGCAGCAACACCAACACGTCTGTCTTCCTCTCCTTTCTGGAACAGATCCCGTCCTCACTATGAGGATGTTTTCTCTTGTGGTTACCGAGACTCATAAATGATTCGTTCCTGTTTAAATCCAAATGGATGCCGGCTTTCCTGCCAGTCTGTGTGGGGCAGGTGTTCTGAAACTTTCCAAAGGTTTTTCAGCATGGGTGGTTCTAGACAGGGGGCCAGAGCCCCGGTAGAAGGCAAGGCAAGGCAAGGCAAATTTATTTGTATAGCACAATTCAGTACAAAGACAATGCAAAGTGCTTTACATGATCAAAATACAGGAAGATAAAACAGAATCAAAGCAAGTAGGAAAAAATTAAAATAAAAAAAATGCAGAAACAAAAAAGAATATTAAAAACAGTTGGACTAAAGAAAATGTTTCAGTTGAACTGCTTAACTAGAACAGTCAAAGGCGATCCTAAACAAATGTGTTTTTAGTCTTGATTTAAAGGAA